CCTGCTGCAGAAGGAGGCACCAGGGGATTTGTTTTCTGTGGGCAGCGTGAGCCCGATATTGCAATCCCCCGTTGCCCTGCAGGGAGGCTGCCTGCTTGCTCTGCCCTTGCTCTGCCGCACCGACTGCGCACATCTGATGAAACAGGATGAAAACAACAACCACCACCCATCTCTTTGAAATGCATGAGAAAAAAAAACCAAACAGGAAGCTCTTGGAGCGCACATCAAGTATTTAATGAGCTGCAGAACCTTAACTGGGCAATGCAGGAGCTGGCAGTGACCCCGGCACCGTGCACTCGGGGCGTTGGACAGGACCCCTGCTTGTGTTAAAATTTATTATTCATGAAAGATAATAATATATGAAATAAAATTCATGTTAAAATTCTGAGCAACCGGACCAAGAAAATCCATCCTTATCCAAGTGTATTTTTGCACACAGCGTGTTCTGAGCGAGTGCAGGCACTAAACCTCGTTCCTCGCCAGGTGTGGGGTTGCAAGGGTTTGATGCCAAGTCCTGGAGGTACCCAACGGGGAGGCACTGGGGCTGCTGCGAGCACAGAGCGGGATCAGCGGCTCTGCAGGAACATCCCTGGAGCACCGACGTCCCCTCTTCCACTGTCGCAAGGGCAGAACGGGGGAACCGCGGCGAGCCAGGCGTGATCTCCGCGGCCGTGCTTGGCTTTAGGCTTCCCAGGGACTCGCCGCCTGCCTTTGCCTTCCCTCCTGCTGCTCTTTGGGAAAATTTCCCTTGGAACCAGGAGCTGCGTTTCCTTCCCCTTTGTAAGACTTTAAGCTTCTGCTCCACCTCCCGCTCACTGTCGCAAGGGCAGAACGGGGGAACCGCGGCGAGCCAGGCGTGATCTCCGCGGCCGTGCTTGGCTTTAGGCTTCCCAGGGACTCGCCGCCTGCCTTTGCCTTCCCTCCTGCTGCTCTTTGGGAAAATTTCCCTTGGAACCAGGAGCTGCGTTTCCTTCCCCTTTGTAAGACTTTAAGCTTCTGCTCCACCTCCCGCTCTGGGTCCCCCCACCGGGGTCCCACCAGCGTGGTTCAAACCCCCCCGAACCCCAGCCAGACCCCCACTCTGCCCAGTGTCACCAGCTGGCTCCTGATGGGGACAAAACCCCGCTCCAGCTGCTCCCCTCCAGCGCTGCTGGGCTGGAAATGAGAAAAAAAAAATTAAAATTATGGGAGTGCCCGAGGGCGGGAGGTGCTGGCAGCGAGCTGGGCGCTGCGGGGATGGGGACGGGAAGGATGCTGGAGGAGGGCTTGGGGGTGACACTTGTCAGCGGTGCTGTTAACACAGAACCTTCTTTTGTTGCTTTTTTTGGACCCCCCCTGGGCTGCGGGGGTCAGGAGCTGGCCGTTCCCTGGACCTTATCCTGCACCTTCCTGACCTTAATTTTTTTTTTTTCCTGCTTTCTGAGCGTTTCTGCCCTTGCAATGGGCACCTTCTCTCCCACCGTGTTAAAAAATCAGGGAAACCTTCCCCCACCCCAGGAGCTGGGGTTCTGTGCTGGGCTCCAGTGGGTTTAGTGGATAATTTAATTCCCGCAGCCCCGTGAGCATCCCTGGGCTGGGGTACGGCCATGGCGCTGGGAGCTGCCCCTTCTCCTGGGGGGGAAAAAATAGAAAGAAAGAAAAGTGAAAGAAAATTAAAAAATAGAAAAAAAGAAAAATGAAAGAAAATAAAACAAAAAAATAGAAAGAAAGAAAAGTGAAAGAAAATAAAACAAAAAA